AGCTAAACATCTTCCTACAGCGTTCTTTCGTGTTGGCAGGGATATTTCAATAAGCTTTAAGCTGCAACAGTAATAAGCAGGATTCACAGTGGGGTTGTGTTCCTTTACGCTGGGCTGTATTTTTGGGCTGAGAGAAAACATTATCCCTGAACTCTGATTGGCTGAGCTTCAACAGAATGGTTTGTTGAGGGTTATGGTCCTCATTTGTCATGCCGGTCAGCTCTATTTAAAGTCACAATGTGGTATTAGGCTGAAAAGCCTGAACACCATCAAGTGACCAAGGCAACCCGCCAAAGCAACTTGATATTTGTTTGTCCACAGATATTAAAGGGTTTGAAGTAGGCCTGCAAAAGCACAGGATACCGTGAGACAAAAGAGAAGAAATAAAAGGGAAGCAGGAGAAACAAAAAAGCAATGGGCAAACCAAATTACATCATACATAATTAACACAACACTGAAAATAATATTAAAAATATATATCCAAATTCTTAACACAAGATGAAATTACTTGACAAGCAAATTATGACAGATAACTTGTTTTCAGAGTGTGCATAATATTAGTATTATAAACTGATTAAAATGGTGAGCACAGAAAAGAGTAAGTAATGTTGCAATGTGAAGCATGCACACAAAAAATAGCATTAGTCTGTGTCAGAAAGCATCAAGACTTAATGCAGCTATTTGTTAATTGAATTCAATGTCATAAACAAGTATCTCTATCTTCGTAGAATCAATGAAAGATCCATTTCCAAACAGTGCTTATAATGATCCTCTATATGACTGATTTAGACGCCCAAACCCTTTGACAGAAACTAAACCTGTGGTAATGAAGACAAAGCTTCCTCCTTTAACATTTGCCTCCAGCATAGCTGATGAACAGCTTATTGTTTTCTTATAAACATCCCATGCATCTTTTATTGTCAACGATTTAAGCTTTTCTCCTGTGAGGCGTATTTGTTACCCCCAGAAAGGTGGCGGATTTAAGATTCAAGATTGCACTATTTGGTGCATAACTAAATGGAAAATACAGAAATGATTTGCATTTGAACCAGAGTTCAACACTTCACAAATAGGCATTCAGGAGTTTATAATCATTACTGGTATTTTCTAAAAGTCATCCCTCGTGCAAAAATGTCAGCTGTCAACATTTTTGATGTTAATTTCAACCTAAAACTAAACAGATAAAACATTTTGAACATAAAGTGGTCAAATGACTGTTAATGGCCTTCATTTCCATAAAATCTAGACTGAATCATTGGGAGAAATAAGGTTGCTTACATTACAAGCTAGAAAAAAAGAAGACAATTAAAAACAATTGATGTATGGCACTGCAACTACACAGCAGTTTAAACTTTACCGGCATACTGGTTTAATAAGTTAAACCATTTAAATTAAGGATTCAAGGTTCAATAACATCAAAATGGAATGACCAACTTGAACAGTTCACCCAAACATTGTCATAATTTACTCAAATTACAGTCATACAGGTTTGAAATGGCATAAGGACATGGCAAAAGATGAGTGTCTACTTTCATCATAGGCTCACAGGAAAAACGTACCTTACCTACAAAAGTCCAAACACATTCACTGCATTTTCCAGCTGAAATTAACTCTATAGAAGTAAAATTGCAACTACTTTAATTCCTTTTCACACAAATTATGATTGCTCAGGCAATATTTCTCAGGCACATTTTCCAGTGTGCCTGGGTTGATTACTTTAACTGTGTGGACCAAAGGCAAAAGAAAAGACTTTAAATTATCTTCTATCTTCTAATTATCTTAAGTCATACAGGAACGACATGAGTGTAAGCAAATTAGTTTTTAGTGAACTATCTCTTAAGTATTACATTATAATATTATATAATTTAATTAATAATAATAATTTATGCATTTAGCAGACACTTTTATCTAAAGCGACTTACAGTGCATTCAGGCTATATATTTTTTACCAGTATGCGTGTTCCCTGGGAATTGAACCCACAACCTTTTGCGCTGCTAACGCAATGTTCTACCACTGAGCCAAAGGAACATATTATATAATTATATAAAATTATTACATTACACTATGAAGAAAATAATGTAAATTATATATATGAGTTGACTAGAAGTAACATTTCCCCCTACTGGAATTCCAATTCTGGCATGTTCCACACATTGATATGCTCAATCCAGTCACCACTGTCTGCTTTCATCGTCCTCTCCTCCACCTCTATTTATAAAACCCTGCACATTTTTCATCCCTTTCCCTAATAATTTTTCAGCACACCCTTGTCAATTATTCACATGCTCTTCTACATATTGAACATGTTTCTCTTTCTAAGCATTAATATTTAAGGTTTCAACCCTCCTCTAGGTGATCTTAAAAAGATAAATCAAAGTGGCGTTTTTTTTTTAAATAGTCTCATAGCGAAATTAAGCTTGAATGGCACTGGAAGGCAGCCCTTTTATGGCTTCTATTAAACATGAAATAGACAGACAACACGAGGCAAATAAATCACCATCTTACAACATTCTGAATGATTTTAGGTCATTTAACACTGGCAATGATTTAATGTCAGAATCATCAAATTATTCCAATCTCAATTGTTTTTCAAGAGCAAACAGCGGTACAGTGCAGTAAATGCCCCATACGGTGTGGTACTGTAGATGACACAAACTAATCCTCCCAATCAGTCTGATGTTACAAAACAAAGGAAGAATCAATGGTCATTAAATGGCAGTCAGCTGGAACCAGGAATCGTGTCAGCCAGTTTCAACCAAAGCTGTTTTCACTTAATGCTACAATTGATTCTGCAACTTCATAATCGATCACATTGAGATATGGCTTTTATACAATCAGTTCATCGCAAGGTGCCCCCAGCAACAAATGCAAATTTGCATTCAACTCTAATTAGCTTTGCTCTTATATGAGCTGCAGTACTAACAGATCCATGGCAGCAGCATTGGACCTTCCACTTCATCAACCAAACATAACTAACAGAATTACAAAAGGGAAAACACAAAATTACCGGCCACTCAGTTCACCATAGCCAATCTTGTAGAATAATATTCTATGAAAACAAAATGTCCTCTTTACCTGGAAAGTTTTCAAAGAAAGATCTGTTTCTAGCTATAATATCAAATATGGTTAACAGTAATGGGTTTTAAGTCGAGCCACAGCTGTGAGCTCTCAAATGCATTTGGATCACAAATGGTTTAGTTATCTTTTTCTCTGCGCTATTGATAAAGGTAGGCAATTGTTGCTTGGAGACATAAAGGATTAAGATATCCTCTGGCAGACAATTGCAATGGTAATGAATTATTGTACAACCAAAGTATTCGATAAGGACTTGTTCAAAGCCTTACGACACCTCATGAAATTCATTGGTTCTTTTTTATTACTGCGAGTTGAGGTAGGTCTACATTACTATAAACAGAGAATATTTGTGCTTGTAAAAACGGGTCAACAGTAAGGATTTTTTAAGCAACATTTTTATATTTGCAAGAAAAATTCAATTTCTCCATTAATTATTATTTGCTTTTGGCATTTTTTGCTATTTAGAAAAAAATATATATTCCAGCTTTTTCACAAAATATAATTATGCAAACAATTTATAATACTGCACAACTACTTCAATTTATAAAAGTTGCAAAAGTGTTTCAATGCAGTTTTCTTTCTGACTGATGCTTTCAAGACTATCACTTCTTACAATTTTGACAAAACCCTATCTATGTCATATCCCATTGTCACCCATGTTGTTTGTGGGCCACCCTTGTTGAGCCCTGAAAACGGACATTAATTGTGACAAAATTAAGCTTTCCTAATTTGAAAACACACAAAAAATCTGGTAACAATTTTATTGTAAAATCCCTGTAATATTCTTATAAAACCAACACATACAAATACAGAGCAGGTTTCCAAAATCATTACAAGGTAAGTTTCCTAAAGACTAACAGTAAATGTAACAGTAGCAGCTTCCATGAATGAAGGTAACTTAATCTGGATTAAACATGGAGAGTGATGTAAACTCATAGAGTGGTGAGGCATGACAACCTCTTACTACCCGACACTATGATCCAACATTACCATCTGAATTCAAAGAAAGGGCTCTTCAAAATATTACAATATTCACAGCGCTAGAACAAAAACTACTACAAAGAGTTACTGTAATCCTTATGACAAGTATTCAGACATAACGCTAAACTTCCTAAATGTCACTGTGGACAGGCTGTCCACTGTATGCAAATTAATGTGATCATTAAATTGTGAACACATCTCTATCCGGGCATTCTGAGTAAAGGATTACAGTAAAGGCACTATAATCCCACAGCAGAATCACATTTGGACAGCATACCTTGGCGTCAGGTAATACTATGAGCAGGTGTGAGCTATCAGGCATGATGACGCATTAATCAATTTATGCGTGCACAGACAATTAAAATGCCATTGATGTTACACTGGGGTGTACCATCAGCACATGCAATACCATTTTCTTATTTACAGAGGCTCCTGTAGTTTTTAAATGAACAGCAAAATGTGTAGTATCTGTCAATTACATAAATCTATGCAAAGTATGACACCACTATTAGACACATCTTCTGATGTTCACTAACTGACATCCTGATACATAAGCTTTTTCGTGTGCTGCAGTCAGTGAGAAAAATACAATATAAGAAAAAGTAAAGCTGTTTTACACTATTACACCTATGAAATTCTCTTTATATTTATTGATTCACTCTATCATATTTTGAAACACAGGGAGTGGTCAGAGTCACTGTTTGTCATTAGTGCATCTGCCGCTCCCTAGCGACATGATAGACGGGACTGAACACAGTCCGTCATGTTTCGCATCTGGAATGTCATTAACACAGTATACACATGCTAAGAGTACCATGCAAAACTGTAATCAACAACAACAACAAAAAAACCTGATCACCAACAGTCCCCATCAGAATCAGCACTGCACATCTCTTGCCAAAGCAAAAACCATCAAGAAACGATTAGAAAGTATCAAACTTACGTGTCTTGCGGCTGACGTGGGTTCGACCAGGCGTGGTCACGTGCCTCTCAGTGGATGACTGCTCTCTGGTCCACATTTGGGTGGAGTCGTTTAGAACGGCAGGGTTGGAGGGAGAGGGGCTGGAGGTGGACGTATGGACAGTAGATGTTGTGGTAGAGGCCACGGTGGTCGTAAAGGTGGGATTACGTGTGACAAAGCGTGTAGAGGGGCTCTTCTGCGTCACCTGGCTGCCGGATGCACCACCACCCCTAGGGGGAATGTTCGGAGGAGTTCCCGTTCGAGTCCTGCTCCGCACCACAGTGGTGACAGTGGGGCTGGCCGAGCTGACCCCTCCAATAGTGGTTGTGGTGGTGGTGGTGTCAGATCCCTTAGGAAAAGTGCTAGGCTTGGACAGAAAGATGGGGTCCTGGCCAATTCCCTTGGCATCCACCAAGTCAGTAGGCACGTAGTCCCGCACAGAACCCACTACGATCCATTTCAGCAGCATCAGACTGAGCCCTAGGCCTATGAAGCCAATGAGAAGCGGAACCACGCAGAGCCAAGTCTGTTGGCGGGGCCAAAGGGCACAGCTCCCACACCTTAAAATGCCTCCACGAGCAGGGGCCTGGGCTTGTTCACGTCCACCAGAGCCACCTCTTCCATCGGGCTCCTCCAGTACCATAGCCCCCGAGTTGTTCACTGTTCCAGAGCTGTCACTCATCTCGCCTGTGGCAATGTAAGGGTTAACCCCACGGCCGGGCACTCGGCAGACATGGACAGCACAAGGCGAAACGCTGGCCAGCAAAGCCAGACATTGGAAAAAAAATGGGAAAGTAAATCACAACCTCAAGAACACAGAAATAGTTATGAACACATCAAGGCAGACAAATCACATCCACACACAACTAATACACATACACACACTCACAAACAGACAAGCGCATACACCCAATAGAATTCCGGAGGTAGAAATCTCAGCGGTTGCAGAATCCGGTAAAAAGGACAGTCCTTTAGTCCAGTTCCACCAATATGTCCAGATGACTTCCAGCTCGTCGTAAGATCACTAAAATGGTACAAATTTTAAATAAAGGTGCTGAACAAAGAAGGTGGAAGGAAAGGGAGGAGTGCAATCATCTGCATGTTGACTCCAAGCACCAGCCGTTGCAGCAGCACTCTCTGTCGTCAGATTATCAAATCCCTCTTTTTGCAGATGACACCACCATTAGATTTATCCTCCGACCTCGTTCCTCCATTCATTGCCATATTTGAAGGTTGAGTTCAGTAAAAGTTAAAAACAGGCTCATATTTTTCCTCTCTGGCTCCCTCGTTCTTACCCATTCATTTTCAAGGTCTTGATCTGACTCACAGTCTTGTATTCGAGCGCTGAGTCAGCTATACATATCCCAGAAAGCTGGTTCCCTAACGAAGGAGGACTCGCCGTTGACCGTGAAGCAATATGTCCCTTTTTCCTCGACCAAAGTTCCTGCTGATTTATAGCATCCTTAAGGGAGCAAGGGACCTGCAGCACAGATCCCGGTATGTGCAAGCTGAGCAATAAACCCGGCAGAGGAGGCAATGGCAGGTGCAGAGTTGTCCAGGAAGAGACGGTGGATGGACAAATCCATTAGCAGTACAAATCCATTCTGAACAGCATCTGATGAGCGACCCACCACCGTAGAGCGAGCCGTTGATATCGTGCAGAGCAGCGGGTGTACGCTCAGCCTCTATCTACATTCCTCCACTGAGAGAGCGCAAGAGAGAATGAGAGAGAGAGAGGAAGGGAGAGGAGCGGAGCGGAGGGATGGAGGGGAGGGAGGGAGGCGTGAGCTTGTCGAAGACGGAGAGAAAGAGAAAATGAGGAGGGTTTAAAAAAAGAGAGACAGCGTCCAGGTTTTCCATGAGACAACATTCATCCATTCCTCATTACTGTTGTGTTTGTTTTGCCTGTCTGTTGCTCTATCCTAGGGCTGCCATTTCTAAAGCGTCCGGACTAGCGCGTGTTCCCGCTCTAATCTCCTGTGGGATTTTACCGCTGCTCAAGCCTACGACACTGCAGCCAGACACATACACAGACAGCCTTCTACTCTCCCCTACTGCTGATGCCAGGAAAGAGAGAGACAGACAGAGAAAAAGAGAGAGAGGAGGCACTGCACCTGCTCTCTTCACAAGAACATTCCCCACCCCTTTAGAGAGAGACAGAGAGAGAAAGAGAGAGAGGGAGGGAGCGAGAAATAAGCAGAGATAAGTACAAGTTGAGAAAGCATTCACAGCAGGATGAGATAGAAAATGAAAGAAGCAGAGGGCAAGAGAGAGAAAGACAAGATACGGGAAAGAAATAAAGAGATCCGTGTCAGTGCTCTGTGGTATTAGCAGAAAAAGAGATTACTGACTGCTGTAAACAAAGCGAGTCTCAGCATCTCTCTTTCAGGACTGTCAATCATGCAAACAGCCCCTCCTCACGTCTAAGACTCTAAGAAGGGAAGGAAACTTAATGGATGGCACAAATTAGAAGTCGTGTGCAGTGTCTAATGGGTGGCATTTTTAAATAGACTGTTGTGCAACACAAAAGGGTTGTAATTAAAGGGAGTGGATAACACTTTAAATACTCAAAGACAACAGAGATGCTAGTTTGTTTCCTGTTGGTTCTAACTTGTTTTAAAGGTGTACACAATAATTTCTTGTTTATGTTGTGCTGGATGATATGGCAACCTATTTTTAATATTTTTTACGTATTTCTAAACCTATTTCTAAGGCGTCATGAAATATAATTTATAATTGGAAAATAACATACGTCATCTTGGATTCTTTTTTCAGCAAAAAAAAAATTATTTATATTTAGTTTATCTGTTTTGCCATAACTGGCATAAGAAAACAAACTTGTCTTAATGAGTTATAGTGCAATTTTGCTTTGTATACACAATGACTCTGACTTCACTAGTTAACATTTACAACATTGTGTGTATGCTGTGAAAAAAAATATAGGTCAAAAGCTAAAAGTAAGCACTATTTTATTAGGAGTTTGCAGTTTATGATATAAAGACTGGTATAAAGACTGCATCGTCATAATTCATCAACGGTAGATCAAAAGCAATCGCTTGAAGTAAATGTGGCCTATTCATTGATTGAGCATCAACTGCTCTGAAAGCATGAGCATGTAGAACATCCAAACAGCGGCCCATTTTTACTTTGAAACATGAAGTACTCACATTTATTTAAATCACTGCCTAAACTAATCACATTAAGCCATATCACAATTCCTGTTTTTCGCTACCATATTTAAGACCTCTTGAAATGATAGTTAAGACTTTTCATTTGAGATATTTAAGACTTTTTATTACCTTAAAATTAAATAACATTTTTAAGGATCCATGGAGAATCAGTTTTTAATAAGCCGAAATCACTGAGGGCACATTTAAAGAGCATATGAGTGAACTGTTCCAACACAGATGACCTAAATCTAGTATTTTGTATTACAGAATAACAGGAGTAAATCCAATCCATTTGAGACAGAAAAAAAGTCCTTCAGCAGGTAATCCCAAAAACGCATTACAAGTTAAAGGTGCCAAAACAAATCAAATTATGTTGTTCTGAGCCCCATATTATTTTCTTTCCTGTGTTAAACACAAAATATGTTAGGCAGACAAAGTGACACATCATTTTTGATTATACATTATCTTCAGAAATCTTGGAATAACCACCTTACTTTGCAAGGCGGAAGTAATCTACTTTCTGTGAACAAGTGAGACATGAACTATTAGCCACAATAGGTAAATAACTATAATAATAACAAATAGATTCAAATTAGGATAATAAATTGGAATAACATGGAAAGAAACACAAGTATGCAGCATCTAGGACCATAATGGGCTGTTTTTGTACAGCTAAAATGTCTAGAAGCAGGTGACACTAGAAGCCTTGCACATTCAAGTTACAAATGACCACACATGCTCTTGCATTCAAAATAAGATGGATAGCAAAAGATTAATTTTCTATAAATTTTATGGTGGTTGTTTGTTTTTTTATTCAGATTTATTGTTTATAAATCAATATAAATCAGTATAAAACAGTATAAATCACAATAGAATGTCCAGGCTTAAAAAGTGCTTGTGCATTTTTGTTTAATAATGCAGAACAACTGGAACAACATGGTTCTGAGTAAATTACATATAGAAAGATAGAACATAAAAATACCATTTGTCCATTTAGTGTCAGCTGAACTATACATTTAGACATGTAACTATATTTAAATGACCTTTTTTGTAGTGTGAAATGATGTGCCCTTGATATTTAACTTTTTTCACCACTGCCATAAATCCATAGTATCAGTAGCTACTTCAGGGAGATCTCTGCACATGAATCAGTTACTCTGGGTCCAGGTACAACATGACAGTCTGCCTTTCAAAACCCCCCAGAATGAAACATCACCCCTTTCTGTTAGCTTGTTCCTTTTCTAGCTACCCATGTTTTACTTTCTGTGAAAAAACTGTCACTTTAGATAATGACTGTGAAAACTAAATCTAAATAAAGGGACATTCTAAACTAACTTCAAGTTTTAACAAAATATTTGGCCCAGGTCACCTTTAGAATGGCTGGTGAGGGCCGATTAGCACAAAATTCCTTGTTGCTATGTTTTATTAGTGGTCGACCGATATATCGCCTCGGCCGATATTTGGCATTTTTCAAATATCTGCATGTTTGGCCGATGCTTTCGAGGCGGGACTTTTATTTTGACGGCGCTGAGAATGGCAGCGTATTCTCCCTCTTGTTTGCTGTCGTCGTTAACAGTTCTGTCTAATACGGATAGAAGTATGTCTAATAATCTGATAGAACGGTTAAACAAAGGAATTAAAATGTACACAAAAAAGTATTATAACGATTGCTTTTATATTATTAGTAATACAAAAGCAAACATTATAATACTGTCTCGTTTGCCGTCAGCATTCAGCAAATACGCATTTAAATCATTTGAACAAATCTTTGAATGTCTATTAATGAACATTTAATTTCACAAACTTAGAATCCAGTTGAGATCTTGTGAAGTGTGCATGTGTATCCTGCATGATCACGTGTTCTCTGCGTGATGGTCGGTCTGTGCGAATTTAATGTGGACAGTATAAGTTCAGCCTCACTGGAGATGCGTGATCGACAAAATGTTCACTGTGTGCTATGTGTAAAATGACTGTTACCTTGGCTTAATTTGAAAAAATATGATTCCCAATGCACACAAACTTCCCAGATTACTTGTCGTCTTTTTATTAAATATTTATTTATTTGTGAAAAATACATTGTCATCTAAAGTATAAGTATGTTTATTTTACACATTTATTTTTAAATCCATTTATAAATTATTTCAAATTTCTTAAATATAAAAACAAATAAAATTATATCGGCTTTATATCGGCATCGGCTGTCAAAAAAACATTATCGGTCGACCACTATATTTTATATTTCTCATCTTCCAGCCAGCTGTCAATGAAACTGTAACCTGGCATGTTGATGGAGACAAGTCGATGCAGAAACAATTTCTTGGGACGCCAATTAACCTGGATGGTATGAGCTGGGCAGTCAGGGTTCAAAATTAACATGTTGCCACCGCAGTTGGATTGAGATAAATATCTCATACTAGCAATGAAACTGAATTTTGCATTATTTTTATATTAAAAATACTAGGGATGCATCGATCCGATACTCAGTATCGGTATCGACTCCGATATTGCCATTTTCTGCCAGATCGGGTATCTGTCAGACGAGACCGATCCAAATCCGATATTGTGCATATACTATTCTTGTTATTGTTATTTGTTAATTGTTATTGTTAAGCCCCACGAAAGGCACAAAAACATTATAAAGCACCATAAATTTCCGTGCACTATATTTTAAGTGTTTTGAAGCCATTCCATAGTTTAATGTGAAGTATAGCTGAATATTGATGAATATTTAAAGGGGTCCTATTATGCTCTTTTACAAAGTCTTGATTTTGTTTTGGGGGTGTACTAGAACATGCTCTCATGCTTGGTGTTTCGAAAAAGTTCCGGGTTTGATGACGGCCCGGCTTCCGAAAAACGAAATGTGTTGTGATTGGTTAGCTCTCCCAGTGAATTGTGATTGGCAATTAGCTTAGACGGTGTTTCAGTACTGAATTTTGCATTATTTAAAATTTAGCAAAATAATGCCAAATTCCCTTGCCTTCCCTAGTTCCATCTGCTCCGGTATAGTTAAGGATGACGTCAATATTGTCGTATCAATCTGATTCAGATCCCAAGATTATTGAACAAGAGGATAGTGCAAAGCCTTTGCACACATGGATATTGCAAGACATATTATAGTGGTAACATTATTGTTGTTGTTTCTTTTTTTGGCTAAATCCCGTTTTAGATCCAATGTAAACAACCACTTAAAAATAAGTGCATTTACAGATAAGTGCAACGGTAATATGTATTATGTTTATTGTTCCTTAATTCTAACTTTATAACATGAATTGCAGTGGAACTGTTATACAGTTGAATTTATTTATACCATAGTCTCATAATTGAAGTGTAAATTCTGCAGATTACATCATTGTCCAGTATTGTACTGTCAACAATTTATGAAAAAAAACAGCGTTTCTTCAACATGGCGAAAACTTGATGCTACAGCAGCTCTTCTTCGTTTTCTCTGATGCACTCACTTTGCAGCAGCACTTCTTCTTCGTCATCGTCTTGTCTGATGTACTCAACCAAGCATTCTAACAACAGCCTTGCCTCTCCCCACCACCCAACCATTCGAATTTCCGTAGACAGGATTTATTTGAATGACATTCTAACAGGCCGCTTTGTGACATCACTAAACCCCGGAAAACAATGCTGTAGTCTAGGGCCGTTTCTAGCCAATTTGACACCCTAGGCGAAATCCCTATTACCATATATATAAAGTATATATTATATATTATATATATAAAGAGTTCAGATGCAAAAGCCTCTAAGTGCCATCTGAAATTTTTATCTAAAACGAGCATTTTAATCAGACTCCTTTATTTATTTTCATTTATTTCACTTTAATGGCATAGA